TGAACCTCCTCTTCTGAGTGATCAATCACTTTTTGTTTGAAGCACTTTGATATAGAGTTTTCATTCCATAGCTTACTAGAGACTGCCCACAATGGAGCTTATGTAAAGTACGACGTCATGACCCCTCTTCATCAACAGCGCAAATATTTCAGCCAACTTCAATTCCCAGTTTACTCTCAAAAGGAAGCCTGGAAAGAAAAAGTAAGTCTCTTCCTTAAAAATTCCTTCGTTTATCTAGTTCTTGTTTTCATTATACATGATCTCTTTGGCATGAGGAGCGTCTAAGTGGTTCATCTGCTTTGCTTCTTTTTGTCATTTTGCAGATCAAGAGGCTTCATCTTTTGCTTACCGTCAAGGAGTCAGCTATGGATGTTCCGTCCAACTTGGAAGCTCGAAGGCGACTTACTTTCTTCTCAAATTCTTTATTCATGGACATGCCTGCTGCACCTAAGATCCGCAACATGCTTTCCTTCTCGTAAGTTCCATAACTTTCAACTTATTTCATTACACCATTTTTGTGGATACATCTATTTATTGTCCTCTCAGTTTCATGTTTTATACAAGCAGTAAATAAATGTGGAAATATATCTTAACAACTCCCACTTTGCTCTTTTTTTTCGTAGGGTCCTAACACCATACTTTTCAGAGGATGTTCTTTTCTCCATATTTGGTTTAGAACAGCAAAATGAAGATGGAGTCTCTATACTTTTTTACTTGCAGAAGATCTTTCCAGGTTTCACTTTTCTTTGTTGTTTTCGTCATAGGGCACTATTATTGTGTTTGAGCTAACAGCTGAGTTCATGGCTTACATCAGACGAATGGACGAACTTTCTGGAACGAGTTAAATGTGGCAGCGAAGAAGAACTAAGAACAAAAGATGAGTTGGAAGAGGAGCTTCGTCTATGGGCATCTTACAGAGGCCAAACTCTGACTAAAACTGGTACATAGACTTTAGTGTCCCTCTCTTCATCGTTCATGATATGAAATCTGCTTCATTTTTACAACTGGAAGAATAAACTTGTTGTGCCTTATTTTTTTTTTTATTGTTTCAACAAGTGCGAGGCATGATGTATTATCGAAAGGCTTTGGAACTTCAGGCCTTCCTTGACATGGCAAAGGATGAAGGTACTTGAATAATCTTTACTGTGGTTTCCTTTGATTCTTGTGAATTGTGACAGCATTCCTTAAACTAACTTCCTTTTATTCTAGAATTACTGAAAGGCTACAAGGCTCTCGAGTTAACCAGTGAAGAAGCATCAAAGAGCGGAGAGTCACTCTGGGCACAGTGTCAAGCACTTGCAGATATGAAATTCACCTTTGTAGTTTCCTGCCAACAATACAGTATTCACAAGAGATCTGGTGACCAGCGAGCTAAAGACATATTGAGACTTATGACAACGTAATGTCCTCATTTTTTTCATCTTTTGATTTTATATGTTGATTTGTTATTAATTTTTTTAAGCCTCATTAGTTACGCTTGCATTTATATTTTGGTGGCAGGTATCCATCTATTCGTGTTGCTTATATTGACGAGGTCGAACAAACACATAAAGAAAGTTATAAGGGGACAGAAGAAAAGATTTATTACTCAGCTCTTGTGAAAGCTGCTCCACAGACCAAACCAATGGATTCTTCTGAATCTGTTCAAACACTGGATCAGGTACATAATGAGAAAAAAAACTATTGATTATGTTCAAACCAATGGCTTTTAGGCCAGAAGTGATGCAATTGTTCTACTTTCTGGAGAGACTGAGTTTATATTTCTTTTCTGTCAACAGCTCATTTATCGGATTAAGCTTCCGGGGCCAGCTATACTAGGAGAGGGAAAGCCGGAAAATCAGAACCATGCTATCATTTTTACACGTGGAGAAGGGTTGCAAACAATAGACATGAATCAGGTGCATTGCATGATATTCTTGTCTAGGATGTGTCACTTAATAAATCTCATTTATGCTTATGATTAGTTTTGAAGAATGAGGACCATGGGAGACTCTTAACCTCTAAATACTTGAAAAATAGGATAACTATATGGAGGAAGCTTTCAAAATGAGGAACTTGCTGCAAGAGTTTCTTGTTAAGCATGGAGGCGTAAGATTCCCTACCATTCTTGGTCTTAGAGAGCATATTTTCACTGGAAGGTACTAACTGGATGTTCTAGTTACTCTCTTTCAAATAATTTAGTTTCAGTGCACATATTGATCTCCTACTTTTGTGGTTTCTTGTGGTCAGTGTGTCTTCTCTTGCTTGGTTTATGTCAAATCAGGAGAACAGCTTTGTAACGATTGGGCAAAGGGTTCTAGCTAGTCCCTTGAAGTAAGTATCATCCCTGTTGTGAAATCTGGAAATTGTGATTGTCAAAGACCTATATAGTCAAAGACACAAAGTTAATGTATTCTTTGTCTTTCTTTCGCTGCTCCTCCCAGGGTACGATTCCATTACGGTCATCCAGATATTTTTGATCGTCTGTTTCACCTTACCAGAGGTGGTATCTGCAAAGCTTCTAAAGTCATCAATCTTAGTGAAGACATCTTTGCAGGTACTTGCTTGATCTCTTCTTCTCTGGTGGTACATATATGATGTATTGTACTTCATATGGTTTTCATTTTCTCATACCTGATTACTGCTTTCAGGTTTCAATTCAACTCTGCGTGAAGGAAACGTGACTCATCATGAATATATACAAGTTGGTAAAGGGAGAGATGTGGGCCTTAATCAAATCTCAATGTTTGAGGCCAAAATCGCCAATGGAAATGGTGAGCAAACTCTGAGCCGTGACTTGTACAGACTGGGACACCGTTTTGATTTCTTCCGGATGCTGTCTTGTTACTTCACCACAATTGGTTTCTATTTCAGTACCATGGTAAGTTGAGTTCCATCACTACATGTCCATCTGTTTTCCTCAACTCTGAAGCCATTTGTCTGTGTGTGTTTTGACAGTTAACAGTGCTTACAGTATACGTGTTTCTTTACGGCCGGTTATACCTAGTACTTAGTGGGCTTGAACAAGGGTTAAGCAACCAACGAGCTTTCCGTAACAACAAGCCTCTTGAGGCAGCTCTAGCTTCCCAATCGTTTGTGCAGATTGGTTTTCTCATGGCTCTTCCTATGATGATGGAGATTGGACTCGAAAGAGGGTTTCACAACGCATTAATCGAGTTCGTGCTGATGCAACTACAACTCGCTTCTGTCTTCTTCACTTTCCAACTCGGTACAAAAACACATTACTACGGAAGGACATTGTTTCACGGAGGCGCAGAGTACAGAGGAACTGGTCGTGGCTTTGTGGTGTTCCATGCCAAATTCGCTGAGAACTATAGATTCTATTCACGTAGTCACTTCGTGAAGGGCATTGAGCTTATGATTCTCCTGCTCGTGTATCAGCTCTTTGGTCAATCATATAGGGGTGTTGTTACTTATATTCTCATCACTGTTTCGATATGGTTCATGGTGGTGACATGGCTATTTGCTCCCTTTTTGTTCAACCCTTCTGGTTTTGAGTGGCAGAAGATTGTTGATGACTGGACCGATTGGAATAAATGGATATATAACAGAGGAGGGATAGGTGTTCCTCCTGAGAAAAGTTGGGAGTCTTGGTGGGAGAAAGAGTTAGTGCACCTTAAACACTCAGGGTTCCGTGGTATCATGCTTGAGATTTTCTTGGCGTTACGGTTCTTTATATTTCAGTATGGACTTGTGTATCAGCTCAGTATCTTTAAAGGAAAAAACCAAAGCTTTTGGGTAAGCCAATCTTTATAACTCTACTTCCCTCAAAATGGTGATTAATGATAACTGTGTTTTCAGGTTTATGGAGCTTCATGGTTTGTTATTTTGTTCCTTCTACTCATTGTGAAGGTATGAATGTTTTTTTCAGAATTTTCTAAAAACACTTTGGTGATTTCTTATGTGTAATGATGACTGCAGGGTTTGGGAATGGGAAGGAGGAGGTTCAGCACGAGTTTCCAGCTTCTATTCAGAATCATAAAGGGACTTGTGTTCCTCGCTTTTGTTACAGTTCTCATAACTCTCCTCGCACTTCCTCTGATAACAATTAAAGACTTATTCATCTGCATGCTTGCTTTCATGCCAACTGGCTGGGGAATGCTTCTTGTAAGTATACTTCTCTTCTTTAGTCTCTAAGGTACCAGTTTTGTCTTAGTTTTGTGACATTGGTTTGGTTTGTTTTGCCCTCGTCATCAGATTGCACAAGCTTGTAAGCCTCTGATCCATCATCTAGGGATATGGTCATCGGTTAGGACGCTAGCTCGTGGCTATGAGATAGTGATGGGCTTGCTTCTCTTCACGCCGGTTGCGTTCTTGGCTTGGTTTCCTTTTGTGTCTGAGTTCCAGACAAGAATGCTCTTTAACCAAGCGTTTAGCAGAGGTCTGCAAATTTCTCGTATTCTTGGTGGTCACAGAAAAGACAGGTCTTCCAAAAACAAGGAGTGACCTATATAACCTATGTAAATGGCGTGTACGTGTAGATATAAGTTATAATGGTTATAACGTTGCTTGAGTCACAAGTTATCTACATTTTAGAAACTAAACCTTATAACCTTCATAACAACTATGTAATTTTTTTTGGTTTTTTATTCAAAAGCTTCAATCATGCATAGAGGAAAGCTAGACGCATCTTTTAACTTTTCCCCGCAGGTTTAAAAGACTTAAAAAGAAAATGTTAATCATTTGAACTTCTCTACATAGGTTATATCGTTTTCTCATCCACGTCATGAATCCATGATAACGACGGACTACAGTAATTGTTTTTACGTTCATCATATTCTCTGTTTATAGTAAAAGTACTTCTAGGGTTCTGTATTTTAACTTTTACTACAATTGTATCCTTAATTTTAAAAAAGGGTAGCTAGCATCTTTACTTTCAAACAGAATTACAATAATTTGTCAACTGTAAAGAGAAACAGAGTTAAATGTTTGCATCTGCATTCATACGTCGACGTCAAATCTGCAACCACACAAACGCAAATTTGGATTTTTACACAAAAGGAGACCAAAGGCTATACTTAACCAGTGAGCGTCACCACAAACGTCACAAGTAGTCTGATACATTTTTGTGAATGTTTTGATACATGTGCTGATTGTGCCATACAGCTATCAAAATTCAATTTCACATCTATATTTATATATTCCTCTCTCTATATATATATATACAACATCACAAGAGACACATATTCTCGTATTGGACTTAGTGCACCAAGACAAAACTAACAATGGCGCCACCACACTTTCTACTAGTAACGTTCCCTGCTCAAGGTCACGTGAACCCCTCTCTCCGTTTCGCTCGTCGTCTCATCAGAACCACCGGTGCACGTGTCACTTTCGTCACGTGCCTCTCCGTCTTCCACCGTTCAATGATACCTAAGCACAGTGACCTTGACAACAACCTCTCTTTCCTCACTTTCTCTGATGGCTTCGACCAAGGAGGTCTCTCCACTGCTGAAGACCGTCATAACCGTGGCGTGAACCTCGAAAACAACGGCCAGAAAGCCTTGTCTGAGTTCATTGAAGCTAATAAGAACGGTGACTCTCCTGTTACTTTCTTGGTGTACACGATACTTCTCAACTGGGCTCCAAAAGTAGCAAGTAGGTTTAAACTCCCTTCTGCTCTGCTTTGGATCCAACCTGCTTTGGTTTTCGACATTTATTACAACCACTTCAACGGAGACAACTCTTGTCCTGAGTTCCCGAACCTTCCATCTTTAGAAACCCGTGATCTTCCTTCTTTCCTCACGCCTGATAATACACACCAAGGCGCGTACGCAGCGTTTCAAGAACTCATGGAGCTTCTCAAAGAAGAAACTAATCCGAAGATTCTCGTCAACACGTTTGATTCTCTGGAGGAAGATGCGTTGAAGGCTATCACGAGTGTCGGAATGGTGGCGGTTGGTCCTTTACTTCCTTCAGATATGTTCACAGAATCAGTTAAAGATTTGTCAAAAGATCAAAGTAGTAGTAGTTATAGCCGTTGGCTAGACTCGAAAACAGAGTCCTCTGTTATTTACGTTTCTTTTGGAACGATGGTTGAGCTGTCCAAGAAACAGATTGAGGAGCTAGCGATGGCTCTTATAGAAGGGAAGAGACCGTTCTTGTGGGTGATAACTGATAAGTCCAACAGAGAAGCGAAGACAGAAGGAGAGGACGAGACGGAGATAGAGAAGATTGCTGGTTTCAGACAGGAACTCGAGGAGGTTGGTATGATTGTGTCTTGGTGTTCTCAGGTTGAGGTTTTGAGACACAGAGCTGTAGGTTGCTTTGTGACTCATTGTGGGTGGAGTTCAACGCTTGAGAGTTTGGTTCTTGGAGTCCCAGTGGTGGCGTTTCCGATGTGGTCTGATCAACCTACAAGCGCAAAGCTTCTGGAGGAGTTGTGGAGAACAGGTGTGAGGGTGAGAGAGAATGAAGAAGGATTGGTGGAGAGAGGAGAGATAAGGAGGTGTTTGGAAGTAGTGATGGATGAGAAGTTGGTGGAGCTGAGGGAAAACGCTGAGAAATGGAAGCGTTTAGCGGTTGAAGCGGGTAGAGAAGGTGGGTCATTGGATAAGAACATGAAAGCTTTTGTGGATGAGATTCTGTTAAGTGAAGCAGAGGAGGTTAAAGACAAAGATGAGTGTTCAAAAGGAATCTAAATCATTTAATTGGCTGTAAACTGTTGCTAGTCTTGTTACTTTTTGTCCCTTGTCTATCAGTTTCATTACAACACAAAAATACATTTTATCTATGTCTTGAACAATTTAATATAATATATTAACTAACTATATATATAAATAAGCTGTCCATCATCAAAAATAATATGTTATCAATATATAAATTGCACTGAAAACAACAGTCACATTATCTAAAGCAATTCAAACCGGTTAAAAGTAACTAAGAGCATCTCCAACCCCACACCATATTTTACTGTAAAATAGAGTGATGAAAAAATAAAAATCTCATTCACTTTTTTGTTTTTTCATCAATCCATTTCTCACTTCATTTTGCAATAAATTATGGAGTACTGTTAAAGATGCTTTAAGAAGTAAGCACAAGAATATCTACTACTACTATTATTACTACTACTACCTTTAGGTAGAAAAGGGAGGAAGCCAGTAAGGTAGGGAGAGAACAGCTGGTGCACCATCAGGAGCTAGGTAGTGATGTGGGTTTCCAGTAGTGAGATCGTACAAACCTAAGCCACGTCCCATATGATATATGGAGTTGGGTTTGAGACCGGTGCAGGAGCTAGCTGGGATGCAGAAAGCCTCGCTATCTGCAAGGAAAATGCACATGTCTCCAATGTCCTCAGTGTAACACATGATGTTTCCTTCTGTTGTCTCCTCTTCTCTAAACACCATGAACCTCTTTGTTGTGTGGTAAACTCCTTTCAACACCGACGAATAGTAGCCAAGTGCGTACCTGAACCACCGTTCAAGAAACAAAAAAATTGTTCTCAACATTTTGTAACATTTTTTAGTGATTAAACAAAAGTAGGGTTGTAGAGAGATAAAAACCATTTGACTAGGAAACGTTCACCGCTAAATGGTGACTCCACAAGATACTCCGTCCTGGTACAAGAACTCAAAAGCTCCCATTCTGATTGATCCAGCTCTGGATGGCCACGGTAGACCACCTCATGGACCTCAGGGATGATGTCTTCTTCTTTGGTGTGGAGATGATAGGAGAAGAAGAAGTTACCTCCAGGAGCAGGCAAGTAGAATTTTTTGTCTCTTTTTGAATACATAAGATTTGAGTTTTCCAAGCAGTTAGGAGGGGTGAAGATGTTAGTCCACTCATGGTCACGACCTGGCCTGCACAGACTCAGCTGGTTACCTGAAAACTTGATAGCCACTACTTGACAGTCTTCAAGGTGATCAGGGGAAGAAGAAGAGGTCATTGCCACGTTGGAGACTTCTTCGATTTGGTTAGAGGGCAGAGCGGTAAGCTGAGGCAGAGTAATGACGGTGGGGTTTGATTTGGATGGCAAAGGATTGTATAAGTCGCTGCTGATGCGTACGGTACGATCATGCCGAGAAGAGAAAAAAACACATCCATGGGAAGCACCGACCATTTCGTGGTCCATGAGCTCTTTGGGAATTGTTTTGTCGGGGACCGTTACTAACTCTTCTTTAACCGGGTCGAACATGAGAACATCTGCAAGTTTGCAGCCACCAGGCAAAACTTCCTTCACCCTAGTGCCAAGTGTCAGATACGGGCTGGTTGAGAACGAACGCCAGCAGCTCTTGCGTGTCTGCCAAGTAAAGCAAATCAGACAGTAGTTTCCAAACACTCTTTGTTATAGCTAAGCCAAGGGGCAATCTCAACCCTCCGATTCTTATCTTTCTTATGTCACCCTAAATAATATATCCAAGAAAAACAAGACCTAACTACTACAGATCTAAACCAATAGACAGAGAAGATTTTACATACAAGAGCATTGTTGTTCCGAGATGATAGTTTGGAGAGACGAAAGAGAAGCTGAGACGTCATTGTATATTCAAGAGACCACCGAATCAAACCACATTGAACTAAACAAACGTTAAATAATTTTTTGATGAATTAGAAAATAGGTTGCAAAAAGAAAAAAAAAAGTCTCCCATATATCTTTTTCTCAACCCTTTAAAGGAGAGCAGGTCAAGCTTGGTTACCAAGCTTTTTTTTCTTCCCACTTTCCTTTTTTTGTGAAACACAATAATTGGAATTTTGCCAAGGTAATGTAGTCGTCACTAGAGAAGCTTTAATTTCTTTTCCAGTTTATTTTTCCTACATATTTTTTCATTTTCTTCTGTGACGTTATTAGACCTACAAACTTTTACTAATTATTAAGAAAACATTTATAAGACTAGACCTACAAACATTTTACCATTATGAAAACATTTGTAAGACAAACACTTTTTATAATAACTTTTGCTGACAAAGAAATCTAATGCATTCAATAACTTTCACGTGACTTATTGTATATACCATAATTAACCGATTACATTTCATATAAATTTGTACATGGCAAACTTTTCTGTGTAAATTAATATAAACATGTGCATTGTTGCTGTACTTAATATTTCGTATGTTTATGAATCTATAAGGTGATTATCGTAATGTGACATGGGGGCCCAAATTTCTAGAAAAACAAGTGTCACATAGCAATCCAAACGGTCGGAGAAAAAAGTATTTAATTCGAATACACTACACCATAGAAAATGGAGGAAGCCAGTAAGGGAGAAAATTAGTAAGACTTTCTGGTACACCTTTGGGACGTTCAAAGTGACGTGCGGTTTTAGTGGTTATATCGTAAACAGCAAAGCAACGGCCCATCAAGTATATGGAGTTGGGCTTGAGACCAGGGCAAGAGCTAGCCACAACGCAGAAAGGTTCGCTTTTTGAAAGGAATATGCAAAGATCTCCTATGTCTTCGGTGTAAGACATGTTTCTTTTTGTTCCCTCGTTTGTGTCTTGATCCTCTCTAAACACCATAACCATCGGCTCTTTGCATCTTATAGAAGGGACATGAGAGTACCTGCATGCACATAGGAGGAGAGATTAATTAACGATTAAAATTGGTAAAATTTTATGTGATATGCATGTTACTTGTTATATACCATTTGACTAGGAAACTTTGGCCGCAAGGTGACTCCACCCAATGGTCTTCCCTGAAACAAGAATCCATCATCTCCCATTCGGACTGAGGCAACTTGGGAAGGTTTTGAAACACCAACTCAGTGAACTTAGGTTCGTTCTCGAAGTGGAGATCCCAAGAGCACAAGTAGTTGCCTCCAGGAGCAGGCAGAGAGAATCTTTGTTCTCTCCTTGAATACATGAGGTTTGAGTTTTCAAAAGAGACGAAAGGGATCAGTTTGTTAGTCCAACCTAGGTCACGGCCAGGCCTGCACATGCTCAACTGATTACCCAAGAACTTGATAGCCACTACACAGTCGTTGTCTTGATGATAAGGAGAAGAGGAGGACATGGCCACGTTCCAGACCACTTCGGTTTGGCCATAGAGCATACTTGTAAGAGGAGGCAGAGTAATTATCTTGCCGTCTGATTTGGAAGCCAGTGGATTAAAAAAGTCGGTGATACGTACGGAGTTATTATCCCGCAGATCAGAGAAAAAACCCCATCCATTTGATGCTCCCATAACTTTCGAGCAAACAAGCTCTTCGGACACTGTTTTGTCCCGCACTGTGACTAACTCTTCCTTTGCCGGGTCGAATAAGAGGATGTCACCGAGGAAGCCGCCACCTCTTGCCCTAGCGTCTTCCGCAAATACTCCAACAATCAGATACGGGCTGGTTGATAACAGACGAGAGTTCTTGCGTTTCTGCCAAGTAATGTAAAATCAGACATATCAGTACCGTTCCAAAATATATACTCTTTGTATGGCTAAAGCCAAGAAGCAATCTCAACCACTTCCTTATATCAATACTCAGAGACAAACTCATTGGTATAGTTTTCTCCCTAAAACCCTATCTAATTAAACAAGACCTAAATAGCTTTACAGATTCAAACCAATAGACAGAGAGAAGGCAAGAGATGCGTATACATACTAGAACAGTGTTGTTCCGGTACGAGAGCTTGGAGAGACGGATGAGAAGCTGAGACATTGTATATTCAGGACACCAAGATCACATCACATAGAATCAAACAAACCTTAAAATAATGATTTGATGAATTAGACAATTAAATAAAAAAAAAGTCTCCCATATATCTTTTTCTCCACCATGACAAAAAAAGAGCAGGTCAGGCTTGGTTACCAAGCTTTTTTTTTCTCTCCACTTTCCTTTTTTTTTTTGTGAAACACAAAAATGGAATCTTTCCACTTTTCTATATTATTTCTTCAAATTTTACATTTATATATTGTTTCACACAATATTCATTTCACGGTGGACCACTCGTTCATTCTTCAATAACTTTTGTTGGCAAAGAAAACATAATTTGGTACAACAATAAATTTCACGTGAGTTTAATATATTAGGCTACCATATAATTATATATAAAGGTGGGGTTGGTCACACCTTTGCAGACCGCAGTCCGCGCGGATCCAACCTCCAAACAACATAAAACCTGTAGGGAACGACAGATCCAACCCGCAGAAGTCCAAACAACATAAAACCTGTAGCGGAGCAGATGGACCGTGACAGGAAGGTCCAATTGCCATCTCTATAATTAACTAACCATGCATTAATACATCTTATGTACGTGTACTGTATATTGCTTTATGGTTTAGGGTTTAGGGTTTTTACTAAGATGGGCGGATTTGGGCCAGGCTCAACCTTGACTTAGGTATATCGAGTACCATTTTTTTTTGGGTCTAGAATTTCTTGGTTACAAGGAATATGTCTTATAGAAAATGGATCTCACTTGCCTTACTTTTTCTTTTCTTGCAGATGAGGATGATGTGTTCATAACTAAAATGTCAATTTCGATACTCTCCTCCGTATTGGCCATAAAACTTTCGGTATTAATACGTCCTCAAGAGTTGTGGTCTCATAATAGCATAATTTAAATATAGCGAGACAAAGCGTCTTTGTGCTTTAAGTTGGGAACGTAAGATTTGAGATTGATGTATTTCTGAAGTTTACGTGATGTCCAAGAAGGCTGCATGGCAAATTTCATACGTTGTTCTCAGCTTCTCGCTACACCATATTTCAAGGATTTGACTTGTTTTGTTTGTTTGGCTTTTTCCCTTAACACTTGTTTATTAACCTTAGGGGTATCGAGTCTTAATTAGGTCTTCTTTTATGGCATAGAGAGACATTGAAAGGTTAGGTTTGTGTTACCTGAGTAGCAGCTCCTTCAAATCTGCCAATGAATTTAGGTTATTCGGAATTAAAAATTAGAAAATAATAATAATAATATTTTTTATTAGGTTTAATGGAGAAAAATTATATTAAAATTAAAAAAAATTAAAATTACAAAAGCAGTTTATTAACTCGTAATTCAAACAGAATTCGAGATTATATAAATCACACAAACAAAGAGAAGATAGAAAAAAAATTGAAAATGGGAATAAATATTCAGAGAAAGAAAGAATCAGCATATAACAAATGAAAGGCAGTAATGGAAGAGTCTGAGAAGACAGCAGCGGACGACTCAATGTTCCCCCAAAGCTGAAATTCGTCCTCGGTCTCCCAGTGTCCCTTGAGGGAAACCTCAGTAAACCAAAGCTCCAAAGTCTGATAAGCAGGACCTTGGGACCAGAAGATGGCTATCCTATCAGGAGGGAAGGCACAGATTTTGATGATGTGTTGCTTCTGCAGCTCTTCCAAACCCTTGACTTCATTCCAACCCAATTTATATAGAGAACGCCACAGTACTCTCCCGCCGACACCGCGGCAGATGAATGTCTCATCATATAAACGCCAATCGTTGTGGTTTTCCGGGTCAGAGTCTTTTACTCCGCCTGCTGCCAAAACCCTACATTCACTAGTTGAGAAAAAGAAGATTTCGCCATCCTCAGCGACCATGTAGACATTCTTCTCGTGCATCATCGTCATACTTTGTTTGATTTTGAGGGGCATCTTAATCTTGGGCGGGGTAGACACAACAGACAACAACTCCCAAGTTTTCGTATGGATATCATATACTTCTACCCAACAGTTTGAGGAATCACTATCAGCAGCGAAGCACCCTCCAAACACATATATCTTCCTCTCCTCTATCAAGCTTGCCGATGCTCCGCTTCGAGCCATCTTCATGGGGGCAACCTGGTACACTTTGTGATCGATACAATCGAAAAACGTGACTCCCGATGTGGGTTTCCCGTCCATGAGGAGTCCACCGATGGTATAGATCCCCCGATCCGTCCTCACGAAACACGATCCTTCTACTGGAGCAGCAGCAGGACAGAAGCTCCTCGGAGGAGCATGGATCCGTTTCAGGCGACGCTGCACGGGGTGGAAGACGAACCACCGTGGGCTTGGATCTGGATACATGTGCATATATACGTACATATATGGCTCCACGCTCTTCAATCTATACCTCATGCTCCAGAGTTTATGGCACGCTGCGATATTCCGGTGTCTCCTGGAGACCGTAGCTAAGGCCACCAGGTCCAATCTCGGCAACTTAGCCAGGATGTCCACAAACACATCATCTGGCAGCAGCGACAATAAACCCCCACACACCTCCTTCTTCTTCTTCCGACCACTACATCCCCCAAGTATCCCAAGTCTTCCTTTCATTGATTGATTGGATCAATGTCCCCTTCTCGCTCGCAGCTTAGCCTTTCGAGTTTCGACCCAGACACAAACCTAATTGGAACGCCGGCCTGATTGTCTCTTTATTTTATATTTATACAATTTGTCGTCTGGCAAAAAGAAAAAGGAAAGAAAAAATGCTGAAAAGAGGAAAGAGCATTTGATTGAATGGATGAACCAAGCGGTTTAGGACGGTTCAATCACAAAATCTAATTTCAGATGCAAAACTAACTTATTCACAATCGATATATATATATATAGGCATGGACGTTCGGATCTTCAGGTCAGTTCCTTTCGAGTCCTAAACATTTGGACTCAATAGATATTATAAATTTTCGGTTCGGGTTCACGTCGGTTCTTCTCGAATTCGGGTCGATTCGGGTCTATAATTAAAATACCCATAATTTTTGGATTCATATCAGGTTCGGATCGGATACTAAAGACACGAAATATCCAAATCCCATTAAATTTAGTATATACCAGGTTCGACATCATATATATCTAAACTATTAATAATTAAAATAAAACATTTTTAAACTTTAAATTTGACATATAAAGCTTCATAAAACTTGAAATGCAACAAAAATAATAACAAAAATTGTTAACAACGATATATTTCAACTAAATCATAAAATAAAACATTGAAAATAAAACATAAAAAAATATAGTTTGGATATTTATGTTTTTAAATCGGGTATAAATCAGTTCTTATCAGGTTGGTCTATTTGAGTCGGTTTTTTTGGGTCTAGATCTATTTGGATCGGTTCTTTTCGGTTCTGATTTTTTCGGGTAAAAGAATTTTAGACCAATAAATACTTGCAAATTTTCGGTTCGGTTTTGGGTCGGCTCTGGTTCGTGTTTTCTGGTCCGGATAAAATGCTCAGACCTATATATATGCGTTTCATTATTTATATGTTACCAGAAAATAAGTCAAAATCGAAACGCTCCTAATCAGCAATTTATGTGCGTTTCAGCATTCGCTTTTACGCCAACAATCAGATACGGGCTGGTTGATAACAGACGAGAGTTCTTGCGTTTCTGCCAAGTAATGTAAATCAGACATATCAGTACCGTTCCAAAATACTCTTTGTATGGCTAAAGCCAAGAAGCAATCTCAACCACTCCGATCCTTATCTTCCTTATGTCAATACGCAGACACAAACTCATTGGTATTCCCCCTAAAACCCTATCTAATTAAACAAGACCTAACTAGCTGTACAGATCCAAACCAATAGACAGAGAAGGCAAGAGATGCGTATACATACTAGAACAGTGTTGTTCCGGTACGAGAGCTTGGAGAGACGGACGAGAAGCTGAGACATTGTATATTCAGGACACCAAGATCACATCACATAGAATCAAACAAACCTTAAATAATGATTTGATGAATTAGAAAATTAAATAAAAAAAGCCTCCCATATATCTTTTTTCTCCACCATTACAAAATAAAAAGAGCAGATCAGGCTTGGTTACCAAGCTTTTTTTGTCTCCACTTTCCTTTTTTTTGTGAAACACAATAATGGAATCTTTCCACTATTCTATATTATTTCTTAAAATTTTACATTTATACATTGTCACAATTTCACCGTGCACCACTCATTCATTCTACAAATTACTTTGGTTGACAAAGAAAACCGACTTAAATACAACTCATGTTCTAAAATTTGCCCGTCTGGTCGAGTAAACGTCCGGAAATACGGTCGACGATGAGATGATGTAGCGAAGGAGGATAACTGGCAATGTTCTATGCTGTTTTTTGATCGATCAATTCCTTGTTTTATGTTTAAATTTGATTTAAGCTTAAGCTTATCAAAAAGGTTGGGATCATAACCAGTCTAACACGTTTAGATGCACTAAACAATTTTTTAACAACATACTTTTACATAGTTTCCTAATAATCATATATATATAATATAATATAAAAGATCACATTATTTTTTATCACTAATTCAACTACAATTGATAATAATTATTAAAGATAACTTTATTAATTTAATTGTATAGCAATATTTGTTAATATTATCACCAACATTTTTATCATAATCAATCATAATTTATTAAAATCAATTGTTAATACAAAATCTCACATTTAAACAATAATAGTTTACTTAAATTTTATATAATTTTTACTTATATTTTTCTTAATTTTACTTATATTTTTATTAATTTTACTTATATTTGTATTAATTTATATGATTTTATTAAAGTTATATAAGCATAATTTATATTTATTTGATAATATTAATAATATTCGTTAAAATATTAGTGTTGTTTATATAATTTTTATTAATAAATATGTTACACGGATTGAGAACCAACTAAACAAATTAAATTACTTTTGTGTTTCAAAAAAAAAAGTGTTTCAAAAAAAAACTAAACAAATTAAAGAAGTATTAGTTGCATTGATATTAAAGAGTATTAGATTTTGTTCACTAACTAATAATTCTCAATAAATAATGCTTATCTAAAAACTGAATATATTTATAAAAGGATAGTTTCATAAGTAATATGCTGACCGGTACGAATCAGGTCAAGTTTGGTTTAATCTATTGTTTCACATTAGACCGGAATTTCTCACATTTTCTTGACATTCTTCACAAAATTACAGAAACAAGTATCGAAACCGAACCACAGTTTTATAAACCAATTGATATATTATTGTAACCGTTCCAGAGTTTGTAATAGCAAAATATATCCATAAGAGAAAGTAATAAATTTAAATACACCACACCACACCATAGTCCATAGAAGACTCACCACAGTCAGGTACTTATTTATCTACCAATACTGCACCAATAACATCCTTAGATTATTTTGACTTATAAAGTTATGCTTCTTTCCATTGTACTCGCCGTTGTAGACATATTTTAGGCTGACTCCGACTTTCCCTCAACCAGAGCGAATTTCTCAAGGGCTGCTATGATGGATCTCGACATATTTGAGAGGACAGTTAATAAAGATTGATAGTGTTTGTTTGTTTTTTTTTTTTGTGATGAGCGAGTATTGAGTATGTATGTCAGTAAACAAAATTGATATTAACTATTAATTTCGGAAAATTGCTAAATCAGTCATTAAAACATACATCACTTGTAAACAATGTGCATTACCTTACATATGAACTAAATTTATTATTTTAATGAACAAATTACAAATTACTTATTTATAACTAATTATATATTTAAGGTATTTATTTATATTTTAATATTTATTGTATATATCATATCAAAATAAACATTAAACTGAATATCTAAAATGTGTATATATATATATATTTAAAATATTTATATTAACTATTAATTTCGGATATTTCGGGTTACCCGTTCAGGTTAGGTTAAATAACACTTCGGGTTCGGGTTTTTTTATACCATCCTATAAGATCCGTTCGGATATTTTTACATTTCGGGTCGGATTACGGGTCGGGTTTTTTGGTTCGGGTTCGGTTCGGATTTTGGGTTTCGGATTTTATGCCCAGGCCTAAGCCTATCCAGTTAAACAAATACCTATATAACTATTACAGATCCAAACCAATAGACAGATAAGGCAAGAGATGATTTTACATTGATGTTCCGTGATGATATTTTGGAGAGACCGAAGAGAAGCTGAGACATCATTGTTTATTCAAGACCCCACCAAAGCAAACAAACCGTAGATAATGATTTGATGAATTAGAAAATAATTTAAAAAAAAGTCTCCCATATATATTTCTCCACCATTTTAGAAAAAGAGTAAGTCAAGCTTTGGTCATCAAGACTTTTTGCTTTCTTTCCACTTCCTTCTTTGTGAAACACAATACTGGAATCTCTCGATATAATTTTTTTTTCAAATTCTACATCCCTTATATATTGTTACATAATATTCATTTTTTTATGAAATGTTAAATTACATAACATTCATTTCAGCTTGGACCACTCGTGTGTTAAAAAAAAAAATTATGAGTTAGACACGACCAGTACCGGTCTAATGATACGCTAATCAAATTTTTAACAACAATTTTTTTATATTTTTTTAATAATAATTTATATATATAATATAAAATAGGTATCACATTATTTTTAACTAATTCAACTACAATAATACTTATTAAAAATAATTTTATAAAGTTAATTATATAGCAATATTTGTTAATATTATCACCTTGAGCACAATCAATCTTAATTTACTAAAAGCTATTGTGATACAAAATCTCACATTTAAAAATAATATTTTACTTAAAATTTATATAATTTTTATTTATAGTTTTATTAATTTTTACTTATATTTTATATGATTTTGTTAAAGTTTATATGTAAATATAATTTATATTTATTTGATAATCATAATAATATTTTTTGTAATAATCATATAATATAAAATAGGGTATTACATTATTTTTTGATGAAGTTTACGTGGAATACAAGGAAGAAATAATGGGAAAGAGAGGAGTTGAAGATTGGTTGTGAATGTGTGTGTTTCCGTAAGATAGAATTAGGTACCGTTTTCATTTATTTTTATAGAAATATTTTGTTTTTACTTCTAAATTGATCTGACTCCTTATTTTGACTGCTTTCCACCCTTACCCTTAGGCTTCTTCGAGCTGCTAGGCTCCCCGCTGCTGGTAGCACCACTCTCTGGCATTTGAACGTCAAAAACGCGATCGTAAGAGTCCTTTACGTCGGCCTTATTAAATATGGTCTTGATAATGTACGCAAGCCTAGCGCTCTCTTTAGCAATAACATGCATCTCCGTACTTGTTGGCGTCTTGACGTGGAAGTAAGACGCATCGTTTCCCTCGAACTTGCCGTCGTGCACGTTTTTAGGGCTACGACCGAATTTCAAGGCGCTCGCATCGGCTATAACGCGCGCGCATCACTGTCTTTCCCGCAACCGGTGCGAACTTTTCAAGGGCGGCTTTGACGATGCTCGACATTGTTGGTAGTGTTTGTGTTTTTTTTTTTTATGAACGAGCGAATATTGAGTATATGCATGGTGGCTTGCATGTGTTTATATAGGATTAATGGGTGTGAAGGTGTGTTTCAATTAATCTACTCTGATTTTATTTGCTTCTAAAACTATCGGATTCAACCACCGTTTAATTTGATTTTACTTTCATTAACTCCTTTCTCTTTTTTTCTCTAAATTTCTTTTTAAATATGATTTTCGAGAGATAATCTTATTATATAAAGCTTGGTTTTCAAAGTTACTAATTAACATGATCGCGACACATGGCGATTATATATTTAAGATTATGACATGTGTTAAATAACAATTTTTCTTTTAAACCAAAAGAGTTTTATAGTTAGTTTTACTTTTTCAAAAATCTTAAACATAAACTTTAAAATGTTAGTTTTCCTTTTTAAACAATCTTNATGACATGTGTTAAATAACAATTTTTCTTTTAAACCAAAAGAGTTTTATAGTTAGTTTTACTTTTTCAAAAATCTTAAACATAAACTTTAAAATGTTAGTTTTCCTTTTTAAACAATCTTAAACAAAAATTGTAAAAATTATATTTCCATATAAATTATATTTAATAATAGTTTCTTTTTTTATAGTTATTAAATAAAATGATTATAAAACATGGAAATTATATATTTAAGATATGACATGTGTTAAACAGGTTTTATTTAAACAAAAAACTTAACCCAAAAGAATATAAAAATATTCTAAAAAGTTAACTTTCCTTTTTTTTCCAAATTCTTATACAAAAAACGTTTTTAATATTTCCGTATAAATAAATTTTTAACAATGGTATTTCTTTTATCAAAAAAAAAAAGAATTGCAAAAGGATTTATTTAGTGTTAATTTTCCTTTTCTTAAATCCTAATGGAATGATAAATGTAAAAAAACATTTGCATATCAATGTTAACAATAGTATTTCTTTAATCAATTTAAAAATATTATAAAATCCATTTAAAAATCAATTTAAATGTTAACAATGATTAATCAATTTTAACAATGGTATTTCTTTTTTAAAACATGGGTTTAAGATAATTACAAGCTTGGTTTTCCAAAGTTTCTAATTAATATGACTGCGATACATGACAATTATATATTTAAGATTATGATATGTGTTAATAATAGTTTTTGTTTAAAAAAACCTAAACCAAAAGAATATAAAAATAATCTAAAAAGACAATTTTCCGTTTTAAAAATTCTTAAAAAAGAAAATTTTTAATATTTCCATATAAATAAAATTTTAACAATAGCATTTCTTTTTTTTTAAAAACATGGTCTAAGATAAGTAACACTAAACATTATTTTAAGATAAATTTCTATACAAATTAAAATATTTACGAAATATTTTTCTTATAAATATTTAATAGTATTTTTCCTGTTAAAATATTAAACCAAAGAGAATTGTAATACTTTAGAT